TAGAACTTTGGGCAATACAATTTGGACAGAATTGTGATTCATAGAGAGAGTAGTAGTGCAAGAGGTGGGAAAGAAAAAGCAATTGAGAACCAGCACTTATCTCAATAATTACCAAAGGGTGGCTGTCTAGGACATATATAAGTGCAACACCATGCCTGGCCCAAAAAATTTGGCGGCAGGGGCGCGGAGGAGCGTATGAGTTTGAGGGAGGTAACAAAGATGTGCAGAAGTGGTGCGAGTTTCGGATTCTCATATTTCGACTTTGGTTGGCATCAAGGAATGTGAATGCTACATTGGGAATAGACCCCTTTATACCAAAACATTGTTTTTGCTTCGACACGGCCGGTAGTCAAGGGTGACAGAGTGCGTATCAAATCCCTATAAAATCCACTTTGGTTGCGCTGAAATTCATTTTTCGGATTTCGCTACAAGATGGCTGGTCAGTCGAACAAGTAATCTCTGATTCTCATGAATAATGAGGAGTTCCGAATTAATGTTGACAGCATGAAATAGCCCCAAGGCTATGGCTGTCTCAGCCTTAGGCCGCTAGGCGTTGAAGAAGTCCAGCGCTTCCTACGAATTGAACAATGATCGAGCAGGTCGAGAATCAGCACAAACAGGGTTCACAAGTAATTACTTTTCAAAACGGAGCGACTTACAAGTGAAGCCGTAAAATTCGACTATCGCCTAGTAGCTGATCGAAATATAAGATCAACGCCTGAAAGGGAACCCACGTCTCAGGATTAGCGACGACAATTCGGTCTGCTATTAAAAGTGCAGTTCCACTATCAACAACTCAGGTGCTCTAGCTGCAACTGCTGAAAAAGTAGCCGAGACCTAAGTACACATAGCTTGCAGGTCTTCTGCAAAGGCCGTCTCGCTATAAACCTTCTGATTCAAGCAGTTCCTCAAATAAGAAGAACCTCATTCATCTGTTTCATGCTTTATTTAGAGTTACCCGCATTATTATGTGCACGGCCAGAATCGCTCGAATCGCGCCTAGGCCAATCCAGTCCTTCCTCCTTCATGGGCCTATTAATTAGGTCATAGTTGTCCTGAGAGGGATAGAAAGGTGACCTCTACATTGGCTGCACTCCACAGCGAAGCGAATCGGCTTCTCTTTCTTCGAGCTCACGGTCGCACCCAAGAAGAGATGCCATCTGATGGTTACTTAACTTTACACTTCTGCCATTCGTGTTAGGAGAACTCAACTTTCAAGTCCCCTAAAATGATGCCATATTGGCCATTTCGACAAATTGATCGCCGGCCATGGTCCTATTTTTACGCCATTATCACCTCTTAGAATAACGGTGCTGTTATTTTATTGGCTATTTGAGCGATTATCGTGGCGGCAGTCCACAAGGTCCGGCTGATATGAAGTTGCTTCGTCCGAGTGGCGTATGTTTGCGATCACTGTCGATGGGGCTATTTTTGTGCACGTCTCGTCGCGGATTATTGGGTCCCATACCGAAAAGGCAATAGCATAAAGTTTTACGGCATCACTGATAAGTAGCTTCGTTGAAAAAGCGGAAATTATCGTCAGCGAACCCGTACACGCGTGGACCTTTGCAATGGTTCGATCGCGATTCAATTCATTGGAGAGCGCTGGCCTCTTTCTACCATCCTATCAACGTAAAGGTAAGATGGTCCAATGAGCTCTGTGGGTATTTTATGCAGTCGCCATTCCTATTCGAGACGCTCTCATTATTCATACGAAGCCAGCTGCGCCGTCAGCCTCCTTAATGACCTGCATCTGCACTCTTCTGCTTTCCTTCTTCATCGATCCACATGGAATTATCAAAATAATCTGGAAGATAAAATTGTTTGCTCTATTTTTACTGGAGTGACTACAACAAGACGGACTAAGTTTTCGACCCGGGTGTTTTTGAACAAACGAGGGAAAGTCAAGTGGAAGAGAGGTTTTTGTCGAGTATCCGTGAATATCGCGTAAACGAACAACTAACTATTGTTTATATTGCGCCAGCACTCTCTCTTCGCTCATTCAACAGTAACTCACTCCTGGTGATTGCCAAGGGATTGGACCTGCAGCAAAAGCAGTTCACTCTCATTTCGGCAAGCGATTCTCTGGAGAGTTCTGGAAGCCTCAATTAAACAGCTTTTTACATATCAATTCTGCTCCAATTTCATCTCCTCGCGAAGGGAGCTCTGAAGTTTTTCGGGCTGACTGCAATTTCTGTTTCGTTCGCAGAAGCCGGGTTCAGCAGGGGTGTGGGAATAGAAGGTAGGAGACGCTATGAGTCAGAATGTTCATACACATGGAAGCTCCTACAAAGATTTGCAGGGTTGGGATAAATGCACCAATCCATGGAATTCATGGAATTTAGCTGATATTTCAAGTCTACAGCACCTATATTCCCTTTATCCCTCTTGAAAAGGGACGTAATAATAAATGCAAGGCGAGGGGAGAGGAAAGTAGAACTGTGGTGTTTGAGTGAGGCAAATGGCTCATTATCTAGCGGCGTTGCTTCTCATGCCCATGTTTGCAGGTCGGATTTCTCAGATCATCCCAGCGAATTTCGGCTTTATTTGAGGTCAGGACCTCGCTCCATGCTTGAACGCGTACGCAGAAACAGTTAAGGACCTATCGATCAGGAACCTCAGTTATGGATAGGCCTATACTACTTCCAAGATACGGATGTAGAGATAAGGATATAGAGCGCGCTTCTCGATGCCTTGAGGCTATTTCATAACTACCTTGTCTTTTACCTTTCAAAAATTGGGCTGCCCGACGAACCATGAAACTTCAATGAAAATGGATCTTTTGAAATGCGCCGTGCATTCTATTCATCGAAAGGATTCACGTTACGCATATTCTACCCATTCTTCATTTATTTTCGTGCAGAAATTCGAGTCGTCTATATGTGCTGCTGGGCACCTTTTGAAATATGTTTTCTATTGATTGCCTTACCAATCGCAGCCGACCCTTAACTGGAGGGATGAGAAAGTTATCTGTTCCTGAGCAGATAGCGAATTGAAGTCTATATCCAGTTCACCACCTCATCCACCACTCATGCTAAGCTCGAAGTTGCGGTAGCCGGTAATGTCGGATTAGGGTGGAGGCTCCTTTTTGGGTCTTACTTGTGCCACCTGTATCACCTGTCGGTCTCCATTCGTCTCCTTCGCGCGCTCGAGTAGTCCAGTGAACCCTTTCGGGATATGCCAATAGAGCCGAAGAAGAAATGTTATTTTAGTCTATGGGAATGGAATGGCACGTAGCTCTGAGAGAATTCGCTGCTCGGAAATAACGGGCTCTTTAGAACAATTGTATGTAGTAGATATCTCGAGCTTAGTTACCGCTACTAGCCTTGAGAACTTGATACGGTATTTCTCTAACAACATCTATGTAGTTACGGTATGTGGAAGCAAGAACATCGAATACGGTATTAATATTTTACTGAAGAGAAGTCATCAACAACTGCTCTTTCTCAGAGCAACGATGATCAGCGTCATTTCAAAAACGATCGTTGCACTTAGAAAACACTGTGCTTTATTGACTGATCGCTGCATTTTTCTTAGGAGACTGGTGCCCATATCAGTGTTCTCCACCGGCTTATTCATATTCATTGCTGATAAGAGATGTTGATCGAGTTATAGAACTAGTACGGCTTGCACTGCAGAATCTGATTAGCCCCAAACAGAGACTACACTCTATTTATGGCACTTTTTTGCTTCCTAGAAGTACCACAACTCTACAAAATATACCCATTTGATAGGAGAGATTGTAGTCTGATAAAGAAGTGCAATACCTCGATTTCAAGGAGACTGTTTTGTACTTTTTATACGATTTTGACGCTTTTTAGGAAGATGTACTTCCTTTCTAGGGACCCTTGAAATTCTACGCATTTGCTTAGATTTTGTTCGGATCCTATTCTTTTGTCTTACTGAGATTATGGAGGCGGAGTTCACTCGTGAGCGTTGACCTTTCTAGCGACAGTAGTCAAAACTTTCATTTGTCCGAATTTTGTTTCTGATCTAGAAAGTGATTTTTCGAAGATTTTGTGAGCATACATAGGCTGTAAGGGATAAACATATGTATGTGGGTGGGTGAAGTAATAAATACATGGTATTGGGCTCAGAATTTACCTTCAGCGTAAGCCCATGCTTAAATTGAGCCGGTACAGTGAGCTAAAGGGGTCCCAGGTCGATCTTGAATCACACTACTGTATATTTCGTTACAAATGGTCACTTCAAAATTGGATCTTTCCCAAGCGATGAAGACACTTTACTGGGGTAGAAATTGACCTAAGCTGAGAAGCTATGGTATCTTCCTTTCACCGTAATAACCTGCGCCATCTACAGCTGGAACAGCTTGGAACAGCTTCGGCTGAAACTGCTTGAGATGGCTATTTTTAGTCGCATATGTGAATGTGAAATTCCACTTCCAGCTTTCCTTGCTGAATGGTACGTGACATCACTTTTAAACCATCCACGTCCGAAAACCCTCTTGATCGCAAAGATGCGCAGTCACTGGTCTGTGAATGCGGCTGAATGCTGTCATTCTGAGATCGTTCTCGCGATTAGTCGCTGTCCTTGGGCATCCCACGCCTGAATGCATTTTTGAGCGAGAACATCATTCTTCCTATTGGGATATTGCCTCAGAGTACGGCTATAATGCCGTCAAATGGGGAATATGGGCACGGTCATATCCATTCCGTTGAATATCCATGCAAAAGAGGAACAGCTAGGGTAACCTCCAAATACACCAGTGACTCTCTCTCTCTAGAAACGTTGACGCAAAAGCGTGCGTACCTTATCAACCTGTGCCAAAGCTGTTTTGACGTTCGCCTAGCCCTGTTTAATCGCGCTGTGTATCTCACGGGTAAATCGAATCCACAAAGGGCGCCGGGGTGACTATCTTCAACCGAATGTTCGCGGCGCCACGGCTGGCGCCGTTAAATCCGATGACATCTTGTAAGACAGCTGATTTATCCCGTTCTCGGGTGTGATTCTGAATTGAGTATTATTTTGTGAAATTTCAGATGACGGTGCCGAAAGAATCCCGCTCTGTGAACAGCACTCGCCCCTCGCCCTCTATGAGGTTTGTTCATCGTTATTCTGCAATTCCTATTCCTCGTCGTCGTTGTCGTTTCTCATTTGCAATTCGCTTTTGTTTTTCGGTAACAAACGTCGATAATTGCATTTATGTCATTCAAATGAGTTCTTTTTCATCCATTCGGATACCAGTAAAGGTTTCCGTCTATTGGTAGCAGTTTAGCAATGAAAAGCAGTTTTTCCGAGTTATCCTGACAGGCTAAATTTTTGTCGGGTGGAGATTACGGTGGCACAGGGTGATTATGAAAAACAATTGAAAACCCCATTTTGAAAATAATGGTCATTTAGGTGCATGTGTTTTTGAAATTCCGAAAATGAAGAATGCTGATAGAAAAGTAAAAGGAGGCATTCATCATTAACAGAGCTCTTTTCGAAAGATACTGTCATAACTTCCATAATTTATTTATTTATTTAGTTATTTACTTCATTTATTTATTCATTTGAATGGTTTGCTCAATATAAAAACTTAATTATCCAGATTGAAAAAGTGCAATGATAGAATACGAAATCGGCGCTCGGGTAAATGTGGCATTATGGACCAACAGCATACTCAAACTTTAGGTCATTGTAGGGGCTAGGGTGGGAATGAAACACCATTTCATGCTTGGCTACAACACTATTATTATCCGGCGCTATTTCAAGCTGCCAGCAGCAACTCTCTGAATCGCTGTGTCTGGCGATGTTCGTACTGGGGATACCGTCTTGTTGGGAATTCTGAAGTACGACGACACCTTATTGAAAGGCTCCCCCATCAGGACCACATACATCTAAGAAAAACACCTAGCGGACGGCTAATCCTTTGTCTCGGGTTTCTTCGTTCTCGTATGATGTGTTTATTTATTTGTTGTTGCTACGCTTGCGATAAGGCGATGAAAAGTAGCGGTCTGAAAAGCTGCCCAAGTACACAGTTAAGGCAGTCTCGTTCAAAAATTTGCGGCAAGTCTGGACTATCCGTCATGATGATGACAATTACCTATCAGTAAAAGCGCTACACACGCCCCTCCACTTGGAGAATTTCTTCAGGCCATCTAGGTTTCCCCTCTCCCTGGAGCTGGCCCTCAAGTAAAAAAAACTGCCCCTCTGTTTCCCAACGAGGCCCCGCCGTGAAAGAAGCCTCAACACGAAGCATTTCATATCAGATCAAAGGCATCAAAATGCCCACAGAATGTAGTTTTCGCTATCGAGTTCATAACTACTATTCATACATGCCTACTCTCCCCGGGAGGAGTATGCAGTGAAATGCTCTCATTTGACATGACTCATAACTTGAATTCAAAGAGATGGTATATCTCAATTGCATCACAGGAGTTGTTGATCTCCAATTAACTCATTTTTACACTACTATTTTTATTCGTTTACCTGTTTATTGTTTTATCACAAAATAAACAGTGGCGGAGGTGCTAAATCCGAGGTTACGTTAAAACTGGCCTCACCTCTAGGTTTTCTAAACAATTGGAAAAAATTCTTTGAGATTGAACAGTTACCCACGAATTCGGTCGGCATGATTCCGGGTAACAAAATTATGTGCATTGCTTGTAACCTTATCGACATGATACGAGTTATCAGTTGGTTAGGCCAGGTTGCTCATTTTCAGAAGGTTATTTTTATATCCAACTCATCTCTTTTTCACTATTTTGGCAAACGCTCTACTCCTGAAGTCTCTGTCAAAACATCCTTTCCTAAATCACAAGTTGTCATTTAGGCTCCACCCCTCATGTTGCTGCGTTTTCGTAGTTATGACAATGTTTTTTCACCGCTGCACGCGACAAAATTCACGGCCAAAAAAGCAATCGGAAGCACATATTGTTGAGCACGGGAAATGAATGCGCTGCAGCCGCCGTTGGCCAACGGTTCCACTAATAACACCCCGACTTCCGCTTCCAGACGCCACTGAAGTTCGTTCACCCAGAACAAATTCTGCGAAACTCATAGGCTATTGCGTGTGAAGAATTAATCACTTCAAGAACAACAAAAGAGAATTTAATTTGAGGCAGAACGTTTTCTCATGAGCATGCGTATTTACACGTGCACAAATCTGCCCGCTAGCGTCGAGCGCCCCAGTTGTTGAAGTGGATTTCACATGAAAAACAAATGAAGCCGACCAAGTGAAGTTTAACGAACAAGGAAAAGGTTGATCCAAGATGGCCCTCTCCAGCGGGATTCTTACCTTCATACTTGATCTTGTCCCTTCAACGTGTCCTAGAGCTAACGTACGAGAAGGTATGAAGGCAGGAATGAACCAAACGTAAGACCTCCATAAGAACCTATTTAGAAAGGTGTCCCGGGTCAAAAACTGCTCATGTCTGAGCCAGTCCATGACAAACTTGTTTGCTTGCTTCTGCATCAAGGTGGGAGCATAAATCCTCTCATTGTTGTCAAGTAGGACAATGAGCAGCACACTCCCAGTCATGTGACAACGCAGGTGCTACATGAAGAAGAGAATTCGCTCAGGAGCTTCGCCAACCTCTTCACGATCTCCTTCCCTTGGCACGTTAGGGAGCTTTACGAATTTTTGGTAAGCATGATAATGCGGATATTATGTCACAGTTACAAGAGTGAGTGGATAATGGGCAAACTTCTAGGTTCCAGCGAGATACAATCCGTATTGCCTTGCAAAGACTGCCCATAGTGCTATGGAACTGGAATTTTTTCCCAATCCATTATTTGATGAATATGTCTCGTGTAAAAAATCTGACAGCTTATATGGAAACGAATGCGACAGGTAAAAGTGATCGGCGGAGTCGCATAGCACGCACCTGGTTGTGAGATCAAATCCCGGCTCAAACTCGATACGGCTAGCCAAGCGTCGCGAAGGTTAGTCCGAACCAGACTCGTCTGGTGGTGATACGGTAACTTCCTCATCCGGCTAGCTCCTGCAGTATGCTCTACTGGCCATATCTCATCAAAATTACACCAAGATTTTGAATGGAACGGAGTCCTTGGCGCAATCTAAAAAGGGATTAGACAACTCCTTGCTTCAACCTGTTTCTGGTGGATAAGTGTTCGGCAGATGCTGTGGTCTGCAATGGCACTTTGATAGATTTATTTCAAGTTAATTCAAAGTGTAGCCGCGATCCACCCAGTTTGACACAAGGTGTTTGATCGCTATACAGCCGTCGCAAGATACTATTGTTTTCTGATTACACGTTACGCTTCTTGTGGGGCAACAGGGAAATAAAGGTACTCCAGTAAAATTGCAGGTGGGACTTGTGATAATTTTTAGACCAGAGAAGATTGTGAAGATTTTTTGACCTTTGCACTGTTCTCCGACTCCAGCACGCTCCTTTATCGCTCTCCGATGAAGTCCCATGCAATAATCACTGATCAAAGTATGGAAGCGCTGGTCATATAATCAATGACTACCTGACCGCTCTTTTGACAGAGCATCATGGGCCGAGGATGTTTGCATACGTATCGTTTCGTTCCAATGCACATTGTGGGCCTGAACTCGCGCTTATACAGTCGATATCCGAAAGTTGGGGTAGGTGTGTCACCGGAAGTGACGTGCACTTGATAGAAGTTGCGTGGATAAGCTGTTGCCAGCATGCTTTGCTGATATCCAGCGATGTATGTTGGAAGCAGCTTATCCACATAGCTTCTATCAAGTGCACGTCACTTCCGGTGACACGCCTACCCCAACTCACGGATATCGAGTATATGTTCGCAAAATACTCGTATAACTTCGACGAGAAGTAATGCTATACGAAGTTATTACGAGCAAGATACCAACCATTATTCACAAGGTGACTACACACAGTGACTCCTCATTGGTCGGATCTGGCACATTCAGTTTGTAGTGTATTTTACCGTATCAGGAGCGAAAGTTAATCAATAAGATCCGGTAGGTAGTGGAGCGCAAACCCCGCCCCGTCCCTTCGACCACCATGAAATGCGATTTCAGCTGTTTCCAGCGGATTTCTTTGAAATTCGTTCTTGTAACTGATGAACTCAGTGCCTTGGCTACATTGGTTCCCAAGTGAAGTGGCCTATTCAATTATCTATTCAATGGTGGAATCTGTCTTCAAACCACCCCTTTCCTCCCCCCCCCCTCCCCCTAGAAGACCTCGACGTAGGGGATCGCATTAGATCGATCACGAGAGCGGAATTCTGCTAGATGACCCTACAGTGGCAGCTGTGAGTTACCGCTCATTTTTGAAATTATGGCAGTTTTCAAGAAGTTTCTACTTTCTCAACTGTTATATGTGCATTTAATATATCTCTTGCAGACCTAGAGTGGCAGGAAATAAATGGGGGTAGTGAGCGCTTCAAACAGATGGGCCAGTAAATAATATAGATAAGATATAATTGTAATAATAGGAGGCTAAAATCACTTTCCTCAATATTCGCCTTCCGAACGGGGCTCATAGCAACCATTCAAGCTCTCGCCCAATTTAGGAGAGCGAATCAGCTAGATATGACTCCTCATTTGTCATGGACCATTTATCTCCGTTTCTGAATCGCACTAGCCCCTCTGTGCGTGTTCAGCCCATTCACCCTTATTTCTGGCCATTAACCACATCAAAGCACATAAAAGACTGGCTCTCATGAAGGATAAAGGACAAAGCTTTCGGTGTTCATCAGCTCCTTTCTGGGATGCGCCATGCGTTATAGTTCAATTTAGAATCGTAGTGGCAACTGATTGCCCTATGCAATGAATTGTAGGAGTTAGCAGGTGTACAAGCCAGTGATTCTGCCTTCCAAAATAAATCTGGTAGCCATTATCCAACCGACATTGGAGTATAGAAGGCATGGTTGACCTGAGCGAGATGCGATACAGGATGGATTCCAATGCTGGCGCCAAATGCCACTGCACTACGTCACCCCTCCACCCACCTCCCTTCCCCATTCCGCAAGCGCCCATATGACTTTTTTTTATAATCATGGATTCTCAGTTTGTGATAAAATTGGTGACAATGGTTGCTGACTGAAACTACCCAGAAATGCTTTGCGGGGGAATTGAAAGATGTCCACGAATTACTCCACGCAATCGCATTTTTGTAGTAGTATTTTTGCATCTTCCAAAATATTTGTAATTTGTTGGAGTTTGTAAACCCTCAAGGGGGGGGGGGGGGGAGGAATTTTCACATAGAAACAATGAACTTCAAAATGGTTGCAAATTTTAGTTCGTTTACCTCACGATTCTGTCCCGTTCGCTGTCCACTATTATTATGCGTTTGCAACGTCGGAGTAGCTCATTATGTCTGGTGTTGACGCTGGAGTAACAGTAAACAAACGCCTCATAGTTATTGTTTATCCGTGCTACCGTTGGAAAACGCCATCTTCGTAACAAAACCTGGGCTTGAATCGATAGACTGATGAAAATGTTGGGGATCTTTTTTTTCACGGGGCAATGTCATGTATGTTTTGACAGGTGAAAAAACTGGGTATGTTGACGTTATGAAATCCTTTCGGGATACGCCACGCATTGGAATCCTGCATGGAATTATGTTGACTTCAAACATGCGTCAAGGAGTTTACTCCATTGTTTCGATTTTCGAATACAAGTTTCTTTCTTCTTGTAACGCTCAACGTGGAGAAAATGTCTGGTGTTACTATTTTATCACACATGAAATTCGGGCTCACCATGATTGGCATGGTGCCACCAAACACACTGCAGTAAACTCGCCCATACGTCCGTCACCTTAGCCGCTGCCCTATTTTGAGCGCCGATGAATTTTCTTGAGTGATTCTCTCTGGTTTTTCGCCACTGGCGTCCTCTGAGCGTTCCCTCCTAGCCCTTCCAGAACCCAACGCTGAACCGTAAACGCTGCCTTTAAGCTGGTGCACTACTTGACCAGTGGGTTAAAAATCCTTTATCACAAGAGGGTCTTATTTGATCGTTTTGGCCGACAGGAGATGAGTCGGCTCAAGACAGCAACATTGAATTTCGAAATTTCAGTTCTGGAAAAGTGGGAAATTTTCTCTCACTTCGCATGAATTCTTCACCCTCTTGTTTCCTTAATGCCTAGGACGATACTTGGCCAGACGGATTTTAGTAATTGGTGGGTAAGGGCGGCGAATTCGGATAAGGGCCGCAGTAACTCATAGAAATTCTAATCTTGGATTGCTCATACTGACTTGCCAATGACTACCCCATCTCTGTAGCCGTCCTGCTATTCCACCATTCAAGATAGAAAATGATCAAATGCAAGCGCACTTTTCAAGCTTTATTCGCTGGCTTGGTAATTTAAATGTGCTCAGCTGTACAATCGACACGATCAGCTTTGCATAGCAGGCATTTTCAGCAGCTGTTTTTGGACTGAAGTTTTAAAAATAGTCCTCAACTTAACTGCAGCTCTGTTCAGGCTCATCCCTTTGGTCAATTCTCTCTTTTTTCTTTACAATTCAACAACCGGTGAACTGTGTGCATTTCAGGCCGACTATGACACTCAGGGACAGAAAATCGGACAAATGTTACGGAAGCTATCCGTGTACAACGCGACCGAACCGACGTCGGAGGAAGCCGATGAGAAGCCAAAAACGGTCAGCTTTGATCTGGAATATTTATGAGACATGCACGTGGCGTTCATTAATTACTTAGTGGTGGTATCGGGAATGACGACGGCGGTAAAGTGAACATTCGTCGCTCAAAAATGCGGTTTTCAGTAATTATTCCGGCGCCATCCCTTGGACGTGGATGGATCTAAATTTAATTGCTATACGGACGCACACCACAGCGAATTTTATGACATTAGAATCTTAAGCGACAGTAGGGGCTTTTTTCGAAAGCAGCCTGATTAGGTTTGAATATTTTGCTGACGTCGATGACTACCGTAGCCCTGAGGAAAGCTCCACAATTTCTCCTCCAACGGATTTTTACTCAACGAAATTCTCTAGTGCTTCAAGGCGTCTTGGAGTGAAAGCATGCCAGGGTGGATTTACGAGGATTTTTGTTTGAAAATTTCGTGCTTGTACTAGAGAAGTAGCGCCCTTGTTGCTCTCAGGGTTGCATTGTGAACGCTGTAAACAAGGTCCTTATTCAGTGCATGTCCTGCCGTTGAGGATATTTCCGGCTAATATTACTGCCCACCGCCCAAAAAGCTCCCTTATCATCTCAGTAGAGTACTGAGAGATGATTTTTCCCTTTATACGTACACGGAATTACTCCCCGTTCCAGTGTGCACGTGCCGACGGCGATTTAAACTTCAATGTTGCACTGACATTGTTCCCTTGT